ATTTTTATTCGTTTTTCGATACGTGCGTTTTTTTGGAATAATGGAATTTTTTATAGGATAAATATTTTTATTAATAATTGCTGCAAATTGAATATAATTTTAATAATTATTAATTAAATAATCAATTTCGAAAAAGGTTTTTAATATTAAAATAGTTAAATTAAAGTAAAGCGACTGAATTATTGTTATATATGAATAAGAGAACTTGTTATTAATTTTTCTTATATTTTATACTAAAAAACTTTTTCTCTATTCGAAATAGTTAGTTTAATTATTAATTTTAATAGTGTTTACAGATAATTCTTCCATCTATAGTTGAATTTTTTGATATTTGTCCTTTATTTGTATTATTTAAAACACAATTGGAATGCATGAAACGACGATTCCATATTTCTTCAACTCTGCGTATGACCTTATGTAAGTTTGATTCATTTGTTTGACCAAAAATATTTTTTTCACTTGCCATATCAATAACTAATTAAATAAATCTTAATAATTACACAAGACGATAGTTTATTTTTCACGGGAAAAAACGAAGTGAACTGAAATGTCGAAAAAATCAACTTTTACATCTAATTGTCAAGGAAACTTAATTGTAAAAATTCATTAAAAAAATGTATTAGCCAATTATAAATAAATTTAGTATAAACAATACTTATTTATTTTAATTGTATTATTGGTCAAAGAATGCAATATTTTATGAATAATACAGAGAATTATTAAATATATTTTGAAGAAAAACCTTTTGTATTTGTTTGTTTATTTATTACATTACTTTACAAATGATAGAGATTTTTTAATGAAAGTTCAAGTGGAATAAATTGCTATTTCCATTTAGTTATTAACAAAAAACATCATGCCATGCGATTATAATTAACATAAAAATTTATTAAGTTGAATATATAATATAGTTTAACAATTTAATTAATAATTGAATTAATGACATAATAATTCTGATAAAAGAAAATAACAGGAGATTTGAATTAATTTTAACGACTTTAACAAATCGAAAATAACTTTAGGGTTTAACTACCTTATAGGTTTAATTATTATTTGCATTTTTAATGTTATTATTATTATTTATTTATTTTTTTAACAATAACGGCTATCTTTGTAACTTCAATATATATCAAGAAAATGACAAGTCATCCAAGAAAATCAAGGAAATTTTAGAGAAATATTAAGATACAGAACCCAAGGAGATGACCGTTTAAAATTATTTTTGGAAGCTGAAGAAACAATAATATATACAAGTGAAACACTTAAAAATGAAATAATTGAATCCTGTAATAAAATTATTTTAAATAAAATCGTAACAAACATAAATGCCCAAAGTTGTTTCAAAATACTTGCTGATGAAACGGCCGACATTGGTGGAAGCGAACAAGTAACTTTGTGTGTTCGATATTTAGATGTTGAAAATATGATTATCAAGGAAGAATTCTTCAGTTTGTGCCTACAACAGATACTACTGGAAAAGGTTTATATATTATTATTCAAAGTTTACATTCATTTGGTGTAGAAACAAAATACCTTAGAGGACAGTGTTACGATGGATGTGCTTCTATGTCTGGTCAATTTAACGGAGCTCAATCTCTTATTCACCAAAGTTATCCGCTTGCGACGTTTGTTCATTGTGCTGTTCATGTTTTAAACCTTGCTATTTCTTATTCATCTTCTATACAAGAAACACGAAATTGATTAGGAACAACATCTAAAGTTAGAGATTTTTTCATATACCCAAAGCGAAAAGATGTGTTGAAAAGTCAAATCGAAGAAAGTCAAAAATGTATAACTAAAAAATCATTAAAACAATTATGTGCGACTAAATGAGTTGAACGTTTTTATGCTGTCAATGATTTTCTTGAGCTTTTTGTGTACCTAATTGAATCGTTATTTATAATTTCGAAGTGGAATGACACTGAAACATCATCAAAAGCAAGTAATTTACGAACATCAATACTGAAAGGAGATTTTATTATTTGTTTACTTATTATAAATAAAGTATTTAGTTATGAGTTACTTTGTTTAAAACAACTTCAAAGAAATTAGCAGGTACACAGCATTGTTATTATCAATGGTAGTAAGGCACATTGTTGTGAGTTTATAAATACACTAACTGACAATACAGAAAGTATATCTATGATAGTCATAATTGATAATAAACAATCCGTGACTGCTACATTGATATCATATAAACCATTTAGCTACCTGTATTTGTAATCATATCATCATGTGTATTATACATGTATATTAACTCAAAAATTTGAAACTTTAAATGTTTATATCTAATAAACTAATAAAGTTATATTAAAAATTCAAATGCCATTTACTATTTAATTAAAAATCCAAACATTTTATTATATTCAAAATATGTGTTCCCATTTAAAAGACAAAAAGACAAAGTTGACACCCTTACAAGGCATAAGGGATGAACATAAAAAGTTTTAAATAGTTAATAATTCAAGAATAATGTGTAACTAAAGAAAACCAAAAATAATGTTTAAATTATATTTATTCTACAAGTAAATGAGTGGGTTATGATAAAAAAATCAGTCTGTATACTGTAGTATAGTTATCATTTGTAAAGCTGGAAGTAAAACATTTTTGTAATGTTTGGTTTAATTGTAATTTCCTGATCTATTATTACTAGACCAGGAATTAAATATTTATAAACATTTTTGAAAATGATAGTATTATTAATTTTGCAAAAAGAAGAAAAACAAAATATTTTAGTATATAAGACGAAATGGAATGAATCGTAGAGGAGAGATGACCTCGGGAGCACCGAAGGTAATCTCTTTTCGCGCGATACGTTTATGACATTAAGTTTTCATTTTGTGTATTGTTTTATAGTGTTTTTAGTGTATATTTTTAGTGTATATTTATTTTGTATGTTTTGCATTGTTTAATTATATCTATAATAAATACATTTGAGTTATTATTAAACTTTTATTACTTTAAGTTAAGACACTAGGGTTGTTTCTTTTAAGATACAACAATACCAAAATTTCAAATTTCAAATTATTTGTTGTCAATTCCTAAAATAGTAATTAGAAAAATAGTAAGTTTTTTTTACGTCAGTAAACATTTCTATAATTTTCGTTTGTGAGGTTCATTAAAAGTTGGACACCACCCGAGAAATCATTCAAAATACGTCACTGGTAATACTACTAACTCTCCGGTGAGTCCCAAAAAAGAACAAGTTATATAACAGCTTGCTATTTTGTAACACTACATCAGCAAAAATAATAAATGTTCTACATAAGAAATATTTTAAACTAAATTTAATTTAATTTTCAACAAATTGTGATAACGAAGAAAACAAGAAAGGTAAATATAACTAAATAAGCATCATAAAATAAAAATAAGTTATTAATTTATTTTTAAATTTCTTATGAATTGATTATATGTAGATAATATTATTTAAAATTAATAATACATTAAAAATATTAAAAGTGGTTTGTGGATTATACAAATAATGATTATAGCACATTATGTGCTTTAGGTTAAGGTTGAAATAAACGTAAAAACGTTAAACGTTAAAACGTTTAAACGTTAGAACGTAAAAAAAAAAATTGATTAATAAATTATTTTAATTTATTTAAACCTAACTCTTCATAGTAAACTTTTATAAAATTTTTAGAAAATACAACGAGTTCGTTACAAGCTGTAGAAAAGTTTTTGGTATTTATTGACTTAGGTATGTCAATCTTTAACAATAAAATTTGTAATGGACATTGTTTGTCATGCGACATAATTAAAGAACGGTTTTTCGATTTGTGATAATTTAGACATGTCGAGATATTTTTAACGCATGTTTTTGCGTATAATTGTGGTACTCTCTGTTCACTGGTATCACTTTTGCCATCCAAAACATCCAGTGAATAATTACCAGAATTTATTTCCTCAAGTAATTTTGATATTAAAGAACAAAAGCATTTTAAATTCGAATTCACATTGTCATGAAAATATTCTCCTATTAGTTCATTTAAAGAAACTAATGTTTTATACATTATATCAAACATTTTAGTTGTCTTATGAATTGCATCAAAAATTTGTCTCACAAAATTTGTATACATTACATCATTACTATTTACTTTTTCCGTTTCACAAAAATCAATTAGGAAAAATACATAGTCGCAATACTTAAACAGTATTTCTGTATAAATGCACTTGATAACTCTTAATATATGTTCTTTTTTACAATGAAAATTTAGTCTGTCTGCTGGATGTCTAAGAATACGGTCTACGCTTATAACTTGATCATTAAATACAATATAAATAGGCTTCAACGATTTCCATCCACTTTCTTTGGTAATTGCATTTATTAGTTCGATTCCCTCTTTTTGATTAATATTTTCATATAAATAAACTGGATGTCTGACACTACTAAAAAATATATATATAGTATAATTTATTAATAATATTAGCACTCATTCTTCGTTAAATTTTCAGATTAAAATTTGTTAATTTTTTTTTAGACCATTTTTTGTTCACTAAAATAAATAAGAGAAGTTGAAGAAAACAAATACCACGGGTAAAGTGAATAACGTAAATATTTTTTTTTCAGACGAATAAACAGTTTCATGAATTATACGACATTATCGTATATTTTTTGATATCAATAGATAATTATTATTTCTAAAATTAAATTTTGATTACATTATAATAATTATACAGTTAATAACTTAAGGAAGCAACAATTATTGGTAAATTCAGTAAATAAAACATTTTGTCTAGTTAATGTGCCAAATAACAATTATAAATAGCCTTGGTTCTATTTTATTCGCAATCATAGAGGGAGCTCTCTAATTGTAGAATAATTTTTTAAATCAATTGGTTGTACTAGAAAAAATGGAATAAATTTGACGTTAATCTATACAATTTTTAAATAAATTTTCTTACCCTTCTTCATATAAATTTAAAACTTGTTCAAATCCAAGATTATTGTATAAATTTGTAGAAATTTCAACATAATACATATTAAGCCATTCACTTAAATAATAACTCAACTCAAAGTTTTTATTTTGTTGTGCATTATAGTCTTTTAGATTCTCTTCAAGTGAGAACTTTGGTTTATGATTGTTAACAATTAAACTATTTTTTTTTTTAATTTTTTGGTAGGTTTTGTGACCTTTTCCTTCAATAAAATTGTTCACATCTAAAATAACCTTATAAGCATCTTTTATTGTGTTTGGATCGTTTAGGTCAATAAAAATCTGTATATTTTGTTGACTTTTTAATGTTGCATATTCGACAAAAGTATAAATTTCATCTACTATAGGTATAGAGAAAGTTTTTTTTGCACTCGCTAATATTTTAAAATCTATGTTGCTAAGATAGTTCATTACATTGTATAACTGTTCAAACATGGTTTTTGAATTTTCCACAGCACTTTGAAGTAAAACTGTACAACTTAATAAATTATCTCCCTGGTTGAAGTCATAATATTCTTGACATCGTTTAGCTATAGCGCTAATATGATCAATAAATGTTTTTATGACTTCCGCATACATGTAATTTAATATATGAATAATAGCATCGAACTTTTTTGATAGTATTATACGACTGCCTTTGCAAATAACATCCTTAATATTATAATTTATCCCTGTAGAAAGATTAATTTTCAAATGCTGCATAGAATCCCAACCAACTTGTTCACTTATATGATCGATTACTACTGACAAATATTTTTCATATGTTTTTGGTTTTATTTTACAACTCACAAAGCATTTTGTAGTTAGAATCCAAAAAGTATAACAAATAGAATAAAATAACTTGGGTAACATGATTCACAATTTAACATGCAAAAAATTTTATAGTTAGTAAAATTTTATTAGAACTTATTTATTTTTATGTTAAATATAAATATAGTACCTAACATATTTAATGATAATATTTTAAGCAAATGCAGCTGTTGATTATTTGTTAATTCTTTGAATAATAAGTTGATATAATTTTTTTTATTTAATTTTTACTTAAAACTGGCTAACATCAAATTTTTAATTGGCGACCTATTTTTTTACACCATTAGATTTAATATAAAATTTAATATATATAAAAAGTATATAAAAATGGATATAACAAAATATACACTACTGTAATATTTTTATAATTTCTCTGTAAAAATTATAATATTAAATTATAAAATATAAATTTCGTTCTTTATTTAATTGCTATAATACATATTTATTCATAAATTATACTTTTAAATCTAAGGACTACTAATTAGGACATAAATATAGAACTAAGAGTTCATTTTGTTTTTGGAATAATCCACCAATTTTTTAAAATTAAACACTATCTACAGAATTGTATCGAAGCGTTTCTTATGATAGTGTTTTTAATCACTGTCAGATATACTTGTCCCATCTATTCTAGCACTGTGCTACGACCTCACTTTGCTACCGTTTTTTAATTTATTATTATTCTTAATTGTAATTAATGTATTGATATAATATACAATATTATATAATTAATGTTAGATATTATCTATACTTGTTCCAACTATGCTACGTTCACACTTTGCCGCGACCCCACTGTGCTACAGTTTATTTTTTATATAATAAAATATTATTTCAAAAAAGTAATATGTAATTTAAAGCATTATTCATTATATAAGTTTATTAATTCATTATTCAAACACATAGTAGAGTTTTTTTAACTCTTCGGAAATGGTAATGTATTTTTTTTTAGCTTCTATGCGAATCTGAGAAGGTATTGGTTTTACTAAGATGTGTTTTTTTTTTTTTTTTTGTGTCTGTTACCACTTTTTCTCAGCTCTCACCGAACCGATTTCTTTCAATGATACGTCAAAAGATCACAAATTGTATCTAGTCGAAGACATTACCCTCAAAAATTGAAAAAAATTCCTTCGTTTCCCGTAAATGGGGGAAACCTCCGAAAAAATGACAAATTTAAAAATCGCTAATTTTCGAAATTTTTTCAATTTTTTTTACTAAAAATTGCCATAACTTTTTTAAAAATAAACAGATCAATATAATTCTTTTTTTTATAGATGCACTATGTCATTACCTATCATTTGGTATATTTTTTTTTTATATCTGACACTTAACCTACCCAGAGGGGGGGATTTAAAATGACAACTTTTTTACAAAAAATTAATGTTTTCAACTTAAATTTTGAAAATGTTCCGGAAGGTCTGACACTTTTATATATATCTTAAATTAAAGCTAATGTAATATACTTTATTATGAAAAAAAAAAATTTCGGACTTTATCTTATCTTCATGGTGAAAATGGCTACCGAATGCTATTTTTGTGTGAAAATTTTCGATTTTGTATTTTCCATTTTTAACTTTATTATGCTATAACTTTTTGAAAAATGTATGAATCATTACAATTTTTTTATGAGAAGTAGTATTTATATAGATCTTTCATTCGACATACTGTTTTTTTAAATCGGACCATTTCCCTAAATACAGGGGGGATTCAAAACATAAAAATGCATATAGAAAGTAGAACTTTTTCAACGTAACTTTTGAAAGTGTTCCGGAAGGTCTGACACTTTTATATATATCTTAAATTAAAGCTAATGTAATATACTTTATAATGGTAAAAAAAAATTTCGGACTTTATTTTATCTTCATGGTGAAAACAGACATTAAACTTAATAAAAAAAATACGATTTTTGTAAAAAAATTCTTTTTTATATTTTTAACTTTATAATGCTATAACTTTTTGAAAGATGTATGGATTAATATAATTCTATTTCTGTAGATGTATGGTGTTTTTACCTATCATTTGGTATATTTTTTTTATAAATCTGACTTTTTACCTGCTTACAGGGGGGGATTCAAAATGACAACTTTTGCACAAAAAATTGACTTTTTCAACTTAAATTTTGAAAGTGTTCCGGAAAGTCTGACACTTTTATATATATCTTAAATTAAAGCTAATGTAATATACTTTATCATGGAAAAAAAAAATTTCGGACTTTATTTTATCTTCAAGGTGAAAATGGCTACCAAATGCTATTATTGTGTGAAAATTCTCAATTTTATTTTTTACATTTTTAACTTTATAATGCTATAACTTATTGAAAAGTGTATTGATCAATATAATTTTTTTATGGGAAATACTATTTTTTAATAATCCCTTTTTCATTCGACATACTTTATCTTAATCAGGATATTAATAAGGAACTAGCAGTTTATGAAGCTTTTGGAATAATCCACCAATTTTTTAAAATTAAACACTATCTAAAGATTTGCATCGAAGCGTTTTTTTTTGATAGTGATTTTAATCACTGTCAAATATCATTATACTTGATCCAACTATGCCACGTCACCACTGTGCCGCGACCCCCCTGTGCTGGGTTTTTTAGATTATGTTTGAGCCAGATTATTTTTTTTGTCAGCGCTCCGAAACATAATCACGTGTAACGAATTTTTTTCTATTTAATTCTTTTATAAGTGTCCCTATTTCCCATAACATGGTAGGCGTGTTACAATACTATCTGTTATGTTATATATATATATTTTTTTTTTTTGTGATTTTTATAGATAGATTGCATATTATCAGTACAATGTAGCGACGCAGTGCATTTTATTCAGGGGTGTTCCAACATCTTGCAAGCTATGTTTAACTGTTTAAAACCAGTCGCTTACTTGGGGCGTATACCCGTCGTGCTTAGCGGTAATGCCGTGCTTATTAGGCCCGGTGGGTACCCGAAAACGTTCATCGTATTCTCTAATGATAAAAGTGTAGGCGTAAATCTGTTTTAACCTGTAAGTGGTACGGTAAAAAAAATAACACTAGTGGTATGAATGCGGTCTTCTAGACCACTCAATTTTATTAATAATGTTTGTACCAAAATTTTTCATTAAAATATCATTTAATTTGAAGAAATATTATCACTATAGTGTAAGCTTTCATTTAACAAATGTTTTTCGATTCAAATTTAATTTGTTTCAAGAAATTAATTAACATTTTTATTTTATTAATTCAACGGGCTGAGCCCTTTTTACATGGATATGTACAATTAATACAATAATTAAGTTTATAAGTACATTCAATACACAATTACATAATATCGTACAAAGTAACAATTTTTTAGAAGTTAACCATTTTAAATTAAGTGTTGAACAACGAACTAGATAAAATGTATGTCCTTATTGGCGCTAGACATTAAACACCTCAATGGCTCATTAACTAAATAATTTGTGGTAGCATATGGGACAAAAAAGGGAGTATAAGTTCTGGTAGAGCACTGAGGAACCTTAAAATTAATAAGAGAAACCAGTGCAGAGGACTCGACCTTACCATTAATTATTCCTTCTAAAAATCTGATGCCTGCAGTATACCGCCGTTCAGCTAGAGGCTGTAGTCCCAGTTCATTGGCTATTGGAGAATAGTCATGCGAAGTACATGGAATTTTAAGTAAGGTACTGGCAAAACGCAAAAATTTGCGTTGAACCCGCTCAATTTGCAATGCTGCATGGGGATTCCAAACAACACAACCATATTCAAGTATTGGTCTTACTAGAGCACAGTATAACGTTTTAATAGATTT